GGACCATGTGTTGGCCCCCACTATGCATGTAGGACCTGGCAGTCTCCACTTTTGGTCTGCTTACCCAGCCCAACAATGGGGATCTTGGCCCAGCGTTAGGGGCTATAAATACCCTCTCACTTGAGAGGGTCATGTATTTATTCTTTCATACTCACTCTCATACTTGCTTGCATTGCTCTAAACCTCACTTTGGCATCAGAGTATCTTGCAGGTATCCCCCCACTTCACATCCGATTGTTGCTCGACTCAAAGCTTATGGACTTTGACAATCCCTTCTGGTCAGGTACGATCAACATCCTTGTAGGAGGTTATCTATGCACTCGTTTCTCCTCAGCAAGCGCAGGAACACCATTAGTAACCACTTCCAGGGTTTCGTTAAAGCTAAATAAAGATTGCATCAGTTTTCTCCATCAGATCCAATTCTTGTCGTCAATAGTTAGAGTAGAATTCAGAATGCCATTAGTACCATTCATCTTTGCATTGATTGATTCACGTTCTCAGGAAACACGACCACCAACGTGAATTTCTTGAAAACACGATCAAGAACACGTACCAGAAGCACTAGATACTAATTTGTTAGTTCATGAGTCACTTTTAGTGAGGAGAAAAAGAGAGAGAATGATGTAATAAGGTTGATATTATTGAATTGTATTGAACAAACTGAATTATAAATTATGTCTATTTGTATACAACTAACTTGTATACTAAGTAAGCTAACAAATCCAAATTGGACTTGGACTTGGATTACACAACCTAGTTTATATCTTGTATCTCAACACCTTCTTCCTCCTCTGTAACTTATTTTCTTTTTAATGGTATGTTGTTTTTATTAAAACAAAATCATGTATGTAGTTCTGGATCTTATGTTACACGATTTTGTTTAATAAAGACAACATACCATTAAAAGGAAAAGAAGTCACAGAAGAAGAGGAGGAATATATATATATATATATATATATATATATATATATATATATATATATATATATATATATATATATATATATATATATATATATATATATATATATATATATATATATATATATATATATATATATATATATATATATATATATATATATATATATATATATATATATATATATATATATATATATATATATATATATATATATATATATATATATATATATATATATATATTACTAGAATATATATAGAATGTTTAAAATATTTAAAAAAGTTTATCTCCAAACAATGAGCTCGAAAACTGTTGGCATTTACAATTTTAATATTTAACTAATTAAATATTATAAAAAGTAAATATTTTTAAAATATTTTTTTATTTATTTTAAACATGCATACAAAAAATTATTTAAAACTTTATGGATAGTTAAAATTTTGTTGGGTTTAAAATTGTCAATACATTTTTTTATATGAGCGTGAAAATGGAACTTGAGATATTTGATAGTCTTGAGTGAGATTTTGATACCTTTCAGGGAGCTATTGACACTATTGGGAAAACTTTTAATACTTCTGCGAGCTCATAAAATTTGAGGTAAGGTATTGACACCTCAGAGAGTTCTTGACACCCTTGGATGAGCTTTTGATACTTTATGTGGGCTCTCGATAGTTTTGGGAGAGCTCTCAATACTCTGGGTGAGCTCTTGATACTCTCGGATGAGCTCTCGATACTTCTTCCAACAACCCAATCTTATCTCCCTAGTATGTTCTCTTTATCGTGCTATTTAAGTACTTTCGATCAAAATAAGATTAAAGGTACAATGTCCCTTAAGCATGAGGCACGTAATGGAAAAATTCTTTTCCTAGACCGGTTAAGAAGTCGAATGAGTGTTTATTGTCATTAACAACCATGTTTGTTGGTCTACTAATGTATAGTGTGAGTTGTATCTGGGTTAGTAAATCTAAGTGAATCTCTTTGAGCTCACTTATGTTATGGTCGTGCTCTCAATTTTTTTCACTTATGAATGTTATCATAGCTCCATGTGTGGTGGGCGGGCATAGGTTGATATAGATATACTAGTACACAGTCTCTTAAACATGAGGCGTGTAGGGCGAAGTGCTTTCAAATAAAGACATCGATATTTACACAATCCCCCTAAGCACGAGGCTTATAAGGAATAAGTGTGCGCCACTTGTCCAAAAAGAAGAATATAATTTTAAAATTTACATCTGTTAAACTAAAATAGTTGTAAATAAAAAACACAGTGGCAATTTTCTAAACAAAGTGTTATTTTTAGTATTAGCACGTGACAATAGACACCCTATTTTTTAAAAATAGGTGTAAATAAGAAACACAGTGACAATTTTGTAAATAGAATGTCATTTTTAGTATTAGAACGTGGCAATAGACACCTCTTTTTTTTAAAAACGAGTGTAAATTAAATTATTATTATAATTAAATCTCAATTACTCCCGTAAATTTAAACAGGTTTAAAGTTAGATGCAGTAAAAAAAATTGTTTAATTTTATAACCTAAAATATTAATTCTAGTAACTAATTAAGTAAATTTTCATAAGTGAATATTGGTTAAACTAATTAATGTATTCTCTTTCATCAAAATTGTAATAACCCGTTTATAAATTTTCCTTCCCTCTTTCTTTCCCCAAAATCAAAACCCTTTTCATTTTCCTCTTTTCCTCAAACATTAATCGCAAAACAACCTCACTTTTCTACTGAGTAAGAAATTTCTTAGAAATTTCTTCTTATTTCCACCAAATTTCTCAAAAATATCTCAATATTTCAAAACTCTAGTTTCCCAAAACAAAATTGAAGGGTCTTCATAGAGCACGACTTTGAAGGGTGTTGTTCATAGAGCATGAATTGCATGTTGTTCACATAGCACACATTTTGAGGTTGTTTTTCATAAAGCATAAATTTGAACACGAAATTGAGGGGATTCATAGAAAACTCATTTGAATGTTATAAACACTTAGTTCCATTAAACCATTATTCTCTGTCATTTCTCAATTCCTTTGAAAACCCTAAGTTTCTTTATTTAAACCCTTGTTTTTTCACAGGAACGATAATTGTTGTATACACAAATCTGATGAAGATGTATGTCTACTCACCCTTTCTATTCTTCCATCTATTGCATAATTCCATTCATATTTTCTACCTCTATAATCTATTGTTTCTATTTTTAGTAGTGATATTGTTTTCTCTCATTTAAGTTCATCTGATGATGAATTCAAAGTTATTAAACAGATAAGGTATAGCAGTGAAAACCGAAGATCAAACTATTAATTAACTTGACTCGCAAATAAGCAAGGGTCTCCTCCGCGCTTTATTATTTCCAAGGGAAAGGGAAAAGTGTGAAATAAAACCTATAAATATGCAAAGTAAGTGAAATACTAAAAATAAAGAAAAATACAATGCATTTGAAAGAGATCGAAGGTTCGGGGGTTGGTTATACAAAGGGAAGGTATTAGCATCATATGTATCTATAGTATCCTATAGGAACCTTTTGAAATATTTGTTTTCGGTTAAAATTGATTTTCTTGCTAAATGAGTGTGGAGATGAGATTTTGAAAATGCGACGACCTAATGTCGAAGTTTTGGTTTAAAAGAGTGTAAGTTTAAAAATTGATTATTTTTAGGAGATTTGTCTTAAGATTAACAAAATTAAAGATGGATGAAGGGGTTTCACACAATCATATTAGATATACTCGATGACATGAAGTCAAGGAATTAATCATTTCCCTTGGATTTAAACACAATAATGAATAAGGTAACATTTATCAAGACATGAACAAGCATTAATCATCAACGTAAAACCCAATCATGTGTTATGAGGGTCGATAATCCATTATGCAATCAAGAAGAGAAAATAATAATATTTTTTGTGATTTTTCTAAATAAAAGATATATTAAAATCGAAAGAAAATTAAAACCTAATTATAATATTTTATTATTATTTAAAAAAATTTAAAGCAAAAAAACGTTAAAGTTAAAATAAAATATAAAAAAAATAAAATGAAGACAAACAAAAGGAGAAAATAAGAAAAAATAAGTACAAGTGGTGAAAAGGTCTCAATGAATCTTGAACCAATGACCTCAAGCATGCAGGACTTACACTCTAACCACTACACCAAACTGTTCATTCGTTGATATATCTAATCAAAAGCAATAAAAGTTAAAACCGATGAAATGGGTTGGGCTGATGAAATAAGCCCATTTAAATTCCAATAGGGATAGAAAAACCCTAGATCTAACAACTACAGCCACTATAACTTTTGATTCCCCAACTAATCAAATTTTCATTTATTCCCAATAAATCTCACTTAAATGTAAATCAAATATTAAAACTAATCTCTCTCTCTCTTGGCTTCTCTCGATCTCTACATCTCTCCGCTTCTACTCTAAACAAAAAAATGATTTCCTCTCTCTCATCATCTTCATTCACAAAAGGAAGACAACAAAAATACTCCCTCTAATCCCTCTCGATCTCGCCTTCTCGAATATCAACAAACGCTCAAAATTTCATGGTTAAATCGCATTCATAACAATCAATAACAAAGAAGTTTCAGTCGGTTTCAACATCAACACAACATATTAAAAAAATTAACTCACAAAGACATCTAAGCAACATATAACAATAGCATCACACAACAATGACAACAACAGATCATAAGAATCACACAATAAACACAGTAGAAATTTTAAGAATAAGAGAACTCACAAGCTCGGAGCTAGTCTAAGGGTTTCGATATCGACACTGTAAGTTCTTTTCGCTTATCTTTTCTTGCAATTCTGCTTGAAATTTTGGAAATTATGATATGTTGTTGCTTATGGAATTACATGTTTTAAAGTTGCTTGGGGAAGTTGCTGGATATTGACATTGATATCACTTTCATTCTTCTTTCTTCATCTTCTCTTTTGTCTATGCATTTTTTATGTTACAACGTTGTGCTGTTGTTCTTTCGTGTATTGCATTTTGAGTGTGTACTACTGATGTCTGTGGAAGAGTTGCGATTTTGAGATGAAGTTGTGAATTAGGGTCGATTTTGATGTGTATGGGTGTGACTGAAGGAAGTATGAAGGGTTGCGGATTCACGTGTGTTGAGTTGGTGATTTGAGTAGAGCTTTGCCACAGGTTCAAAGGGATAGGGTGACTCAATTTTGATGACTAGTGTGGCACACTTGTCATGGTTGTTTTTGTATGAAGGTTTAGCAGGGGTGGTTTTAAGAAGTTACATGGAGAAGTTTGTGTGAGGATGATGGAGGTTGAGTACAAGGGATAAGTTGAGTTATGAGGGATTGGAGGTTAGTGATGTTGTGTGTTGGAGCAGGTTGCAGGGAATATTTTTTTTTAGTATTCTTCTAGTGTGTTCTTCTATATGTATTGAACAAATTTATGGGGTATCCTCTATGTATTATTTTTCTCCTACTAATCTCTTTCTTCCTCCTATTCTCCATGGACCCTTCTTAACAGAGTTAAATCCCCTTTTAATTTATAGGTGAGATAATCTGAATTTGGGAGGGAATTTTGTTGAATTTAAACAAATAGAGTGTTTTGTTGTAATGCTTTCGCTATATAGTCTATGCTTTGCTCATTTTCGTACAATGCTTGGATTGTTTTGACCATTTTTCTTCTGGTTTGTGTAGGTTATTTTAGATGCAGGTTTTTGGACTGGTGTGGACAGGTACAGTAGGGCTGGAAATTGGGCGATAGGCTGTTTGACATCTTGCAACAGGTTTAGGGCAGCAGCAGGACTCTTTTCTTGGTCTGATTTGATGCAGGGTTTTGCTGGCTGGTGGAGCAGCATTGTAGTAGGTTTTTCGTAGTCTTATGAACTGCATTTTCAACTGTTTTTGCAGGACAAATTAACAAGTCTTGGACAATAAAGTGATCAAAGTCTTGAACTGATTTGGCATAAAATGGAACAAAACCTTAGGAGTGTTGCAAAGTTTGTAGGAAGGTAATGACATGGCTTCCCATCTTAGTATGAAGAAAGAGTTTTTTGGAGATGGAAGCAAGACTTAAAACATTTAGCATTAGGTCTTGTATAATTTTTATAAATGTTTCAAGGAAAGTAACAATATCATCTCTTGTAACTTGTACATTTGAAATTATGAGTGAAAAATGTGTCCTAGTTACTTGAGTCAAACTTTGGATCACCTTGTATGATATTCGCATTCTTTGTAGAGACTTATTCTTGTAAATTTGAAAAGAACTTGAAAGAATTGAGTGTTTGTGATGAACACAATGATGTGGGCCATTTTAGGATCATGATGAATGCCCTAAATCTCAATTAACATGAACTTCCCAATCTTACATACTCAAATTGATTCTTGAGATCAAGATGTACACTTTGCCTTTGATGCTTGAATTCAAGATAACCCACATGAATGGACTTGAATGAGTTTTGACTTTTGAATTAGCTTGAATTAAATTTGAATGATGAATGGACATCTTGTATTTTCTCCTAGAATTCCAAACAAATTACATGAATTGATCTTCTAAGTTGAGCAAAATTTTATCATAAGGAAATTGGTCCTTCTGAATATCTTGAACCAAAAGCAAATTCATATGAATGAGTTGCACCTTGCACACTTGAATTGACTTAAAACTAAAGGCATCATTTGATTGAATCCTTAAACCTTATTTTCTAAAACCCTAAATCACATCTTCACCTCATAGTAATTTGCAATATAAACCAATAGTACTTGATTGGATTGAACAAACAGTGCTTTAAGAACTTTGGTCAAAGATTCCACTTTAATCCAATAATCGCCAACGCTCAAACACAAGAGACAAACAATCAAGGAATCCCCGAACTCAACATCTTGTATCATGAACAATATTAACATAAGAATCAATGTATTGAGAAAACAATCACGGGCATGAATTGAAATTAGAAGTTAGGAACATTCTAAATAAAATAAAAAGACCCATAATGTTTCGATAGATCCCATGGACTTCGAAGTATAATTTGACTCAGATTCCTGAAGAAAACTTGTAGGTGACATCTTTTATGACAATGTGCAAAAAGAATCGCCTCGAAATTTTGAAAATTGTGGAAGTTATGATCCTTGAAAGTCGGGCACAACTATTTTAAATTAGGTCAAAGCCCACAAAGTGACCTCTAAAGTATTCAAATTTTTGACGATCTTTCAAACATAATCAACTCTTGACTTGTAAAGAGAAGTTGGAGGTGACGTCAAGGAGAGTAATATGCAAAAAGAACCACTAAAAAATATTGAATAATGAAGAAGTTATGATCGTTTTAACTTGATCTTGAAAATGTTGACTTTTGGTTAAAGTGTTTTGAATCGACTTGCAAATTTGATCTTTCCTCTCATTCCCAGACATGTTGATGCACATATGGACCAGTGGTGATGAAATCTTGACTATGATCTTGAGATTATAGGCCAAAATTTGATGAAGTAGCATTTTAGAATCGGTGATTCACCATACTTAAACACTTGAGGGATGCAAAACCCTAATTGAGGCATAACACCTGACACTCTTGATTCAGACCTGTCTCAAATCAAGAAACCAAAGAAACACAAACATACCTTTTTATGGGATTAGAAGTTAGTGATGCATAAAATAAAATGTTCACAACAATTGGTAATATATGCATAAGCAGTGCTCGAAGGTGAGCGGATTAAAAACCAATTGTATCTTGTGACCTTGATGCTTTATGAAAATGAAAATGAAGGTGGGATCTTAGGTCAAAATTTTGGGTATGACACAAGGGAGCCTCTACTAAACATGTTTTAGCTCACAATCTCTAGGATAGAGAAGCCTCTACAAAAATCGGGTAGAAAAATAATAACAAATGTTATATTGTGAAGGAAACTTGTGAGGTTATTGTGAACATGGTGCACGAAGGTTGGATTGCAGGCAATATCAGTTTCTTTAGGAGACCAGTGTAGCTAATATGGAAACAACTACGATAAACATTTTGGTAGTATTTTTGAATCAATCTTAACTCATTACATATATGATATTTTAAAAGTGTTTGTGTTGTAACTGGATTTAAAATTTGAGAGTCGCCACCCTTTAATTTTTATCCTACGGAAGGGAATATAAAGGACAACCCTAAAAAGTTTGAGATTCTAGGTTTTTTGACTCGTTTCTAGAAGAAGAAAAGGTGTTAGGCACCCCTCATCTACCTTTTTCACAAGGATATTGTTAGAACATAGTTTGGTTCTACATCCTTATAAGAGTTTTGATGATAACAAACACATGATATATATAAAGGAAAAATACGCTCTCTAATAAAGTTTTTTAATATGCAGTGAAGTTATGATGTAAGAAGCATAGAAGATGAGAAAGATCGTTGTTAAAAAATCTGTTATGACACATCTTACTTAGAAGAAAATCTGTGTAACACGCTTAAATTAAGAAGTTCTGATGTTACAACTTCTGATTGCACTAACACTGCGAACAAGAACTCAGAAATTCTGATACGTAAAGTTCTGGAAAGAAGTAAAGGAGTCTTAATGGTAACATTCATCTTCTGATGTGATTTTTAGTAAGCATGTTCTGAAGCGTTACATTTCATTCATGGCTAATCAATAGTAACGGCTGAAAGAAGACAAGAATCTCTATGTTTGGAAAGAACATTAACTACTATTTATCAACCTTCCAAATGCATCAACTGTGCACCAAAAAAAAAAGAAAAATATTATTACCATTCTACCTTGTGCTCTTCAATTGTGTAATACATCATTGTAGTGATATTGTTTTATCTAAAAAACATCATTGTACACACTTTCAATTATATTACTTTGTATTTCCTTGAGAAAACTGAGTTGTGGTTTAGACTCAAGAAGACATTGACAGTTGTCATTGTGTTTGTGTAATCAAGTTATGATTAGTTGATTAAGACCTCATTTGAGAGAGGCAAAATCACCTTGGCGGGTGGACTGGAGTAGTTTGAGTTCAAATGAACCAGGATAACCAACGTGTATTTTATTCTTAGTTTTAAAACCTCAATTCAACCCCCTTCTTGTGTTTTTCTATTCTTCAATTGGTATCAGAGCACCTAGTTCTGAGTGCAAACACTTAACCGTGTCATAAAAAGATCCAAGAAAGAAAAACACTATGGTGGGACCAAGTCAGATCATCAACAATGATTATCATGATGAGAAAGACAAAATCAGAGGCAGACCCCCAATATTTGAGGGTGAAAAGTTTGATTACTGGAAATACATAATCAAAATTTTCTTTCTAGATCATGATGCTGATCTCTGGGATATGGTGACTTATGGCTACATTCATCCTAGTGATGAAAATGGTCAGAAGATTGACAGAAAGAAAATGTCAGATCAACAAAAGAAAGAATTCAGAAACCATCATAAAGCCAGAACAATCTTGTTGAGTGATATCTCATATACTGGGTATGAGAAGATCACAAATAAAGATTCTGCTAAAAACACGTTTGACTCTCTAAGAATGATGCACGAAGGTAACACTCAAGTAAAAGAGACCAAAGCTCTTGCACTCATCCAGAAGTACGAAGCTTTCAAAATGGAAGAAGAAGAAACTATCGAGACAATGTTCTCAAGATTTCAAATTTTGGTTGCAGGATTGAAAGTTATGGACAAAGGGTACTCCACAGCAGATCATGTAAAGAAAATCATAAGAAGTTTACCCAAGAAATGGATACCCATGGTCACAGTGTAAAATCAAGCTTCACAAATAAGCTTTTGTTTTGATGAAGACAAACCATGGCTAACAAAGAAGGCAAATATTTTATGATCAACCATCTAAGCATCTAAGGATATTATCTTCATTCAAAGCTCTCAACAACTTTAAAGGTACAATAATACTATCTACTTTGATCTTAAGATATAGATGCTCAAAAATGAAAAAGAAATGTTTAAGAATCCTTACTCAAGCTTTTCAAAGATAAAAATTCATTTTTCTCTTGCATGCAATCGATTTACATCTTAGTGCAATTGGTTGCACACTTCAAAATTTTAGATCTTTTGCTTCTGTTTCTATGTGCAATCGATTTACATTGCCTATGCAATCGATTTCATACCTAAATCTTTCAAAACATTTTCTTTTGTTTCTCATGCAATCGATTTACATTGCAAGTGCAATCGATTGCACTCAGTTACTTTTTGCTACTGACTTTGCATGCAATCTATTACATTGTTAGTGCAATCGATTGCACTCTTAAAGATTTAAAAAAAAATAGCTGTTAAAAACCTTGTGCAATCGGTTTACACCAAGGGTGCAATCGATTTCATACTGCACAAATTTGAAAAATAGCAGCTTTGTTCATGCCTTTTCATCATGCCTTTTCATTACATCTTTTCACTCAAACTTGGCATTTGTTCATGATACATTTCCAGATCTTCATGATGTTTCAAAAGGGTGTTATGAACATATAAATTTTCAATTTCAAATCTAGATCTAACACCTTCTTCCATAAATATTTTCTGAAATTTCAAAATACAAACTCAAGCATTCTTCATTTTCATGCATAAGTTTTCTGCACATTTTCATACATTAACAAATAGAAAACTTTGAGCAAATATATCTTGAGTCTTTGTACAATATTATTATTAAAAGAAGAAGATTATACATTGTCAAATCACTCTAAGTGATCAATATTACTCTACTCACTCAAACTCACAAATTGATATTTACTGACTTATTTTCCAGGATTGTTGGAATTAAGTTTAAGTGTTTTTGTTGAAATCTTGTCTTTCTAAAGTTGTTGGATACAAGTGTAGTTACATTGAGAGGATTGTTCTCATAGGTAACTTAGTGATAATCCAAGAGGATTGTTCTTGGTTGGTTGGTAGTTCTTGTTTAAGTT